TCTCTCTCTCTCTCTCACTCTCTCTTTAAAAAAAAATAAATCATGATAGGAATAAATAAATTCAATGAAAGAACTGAAAGTTGAAGAAATCTCTCAGAATGTATTATAAGAAAATAAGAGTTAAAAAACAGAAAACTCAAGAAAATTGGAGGACCCACCTAGGATGTTCCATAACTAAAACTGGATTTCCAGAAAAGRAAAAGACATAGTAGACAACAGGCAGTTTTTCAAGAACTGCAATGCTGGGGTATGGCTCAGTGGTAGAGCTCTTGCCTAGCATGCCCAAGGCCAAGGGTTTGATCCCCAGCATTGCAAAAACAGAAAGAATCATGTCAAGAAAATGTCTCAAAACTGAAGGTTAGGGCTGGGGCTATAGCTCAGTGGCAGAGTGCTTGCCTATCAAGTGTGAGGCACTGGGTTCTATCCTTAGTGCTACATAAAACTAAACAAAGGCATGCTGTCCATCTATAGCTATTAAAAAAAAAAAATTAAAACAACAACAACAAAACAAACAAAACCCGAAGGTTAATAGGGCCCAGAAAATATCCAGCATAATGGATTAAAACATCCTTATGAAATCATACCATCAGGAAGGGCAGCAGGATTAATTGGACATAACTTTCCTAGCCTTATATTTGAATACATAATCAGGATTATTCCGCATCATGTACAACCACAAGAATAAGATCTCAATTAGAATAAGTTATACTCCATGTATGTATAGTATGCCAAAATATATTCTCTGTCATGTATATCTAAAAAGRACAAATAAAATAAAAATAAATTAAAAACAAAGCAAACATACTATCATGAAATTCTGGAAATTTTTTAGGAAAAAATGAGGAGAGAAAAAAAAAAGTAAATGAAAAATTACAAGTTTATGGAAGGCAAAAACAAGTTGCATATAAAATATCAATGTCAAAATAACATCTGGGCTGAGGGTATAGCTCAGTGACAGAGTGCTTACTTAGCAGGCACAAGGCCCTAGGTTGGATCCCCAGCACTATTAAAAAAAAAAAAAAAAAACCCAC